TGTTGCTGTTGTTGAAGACAGAATCTCACTCTTATCCAGGCCAGAGTGCCATGGCCTCAGCCTAGCTCACAGCAAACTCAAACTCCTGGGTTCAAGCTATCCTCCTGTCTCAGCTTCCTGAATAGCTGGGACTACAGGTGCCTACCACAACGCCCGGCTAATTTTTCTGTTTTTAGTAGAGACAAGAGTCATGCTTTTGCTCAGTCTGGTCTCAAACTCCTAAGCTCAAGGGATCCTCCCGCTTTAGCCTCCCAGAGTGCTAGGATTACCAGTGTGAGCCACCATGCCTAGCGAGAAGAGTAACATTTTAATATTTTTACAAATACTGTTAGCAGTCTGGCCAAATAGAAGATGCTGGATTCTTCTGGGTGCTTCTGTAGTCAGTCAGTTGGTTGACTTAAAGGAATACTGTCCAGGCTCACACAGATGTGTAGATGGGAAGGAGGGAACCTCTCAGACCACAGTTTGGGAATTGCTATCCAAGAAGGAGGCTAAAGTGCCCCCATTTCACAGCTGGGCAAATGGAGGCATGGAGACATTGGACCAGGACTCCTGGCTCTTTCTATGGTCCCCTGTTTATCCTTGAGGTTTCCTGGAAGGACTATCCTCCCAATCTGCCCTGGTCCTAGAATGGCCAAGTGTTTGTTGGGGGCAGGGGTAAGGCACTGGGCGAGGTGGCCCTGGGGCAGGCAGCCTTCTGGTGTTAACACCCAAAGTTTTGTCTGAGAAATCTAGTGGGACAGGCCCCCAGCCCCCACGATCCTGGGAGGAACCCTGTTCCCAGAAGCCTGTCCCTGAACACTGCCGTCAGCCTCAGAGTTCATTTCCTGGTTAAACAAACATCTACATTAAATGGTCCAGTTGGGCAACGCCCAGAAGCAGCTTCTGAGTGGAGACTTGGGCACACGGCCTGCCAGGCCTCCTCCTTGGCCGTCTGGTGAAGACACATCCATCATCACAGAGTTGCTGAAGCAGGGCTATGCCCGTCTGGGAGGAGGGGCTCAGAGGGACGTGCAGAGTGCCCCGTGCCCAGACCTTACAGAAGTGTGTCCCCGGCAGCTCGGAGACTGTAACAATGGTAATGATAATAACTTCAGACGTTTGGGTAGGGTGTAGCCACTGCTGTCCGTCATCTTATCTCCTCCCTGTAGGGTGGGGATGCTTACCCATTTTCCAGATGAGGAAACTGAGGCATCTGAGAGGAGTTCACCCAGGGTCACATAGCTCCTTGTTGGGGTGAGGGTGCAGACATCCTCCCTCCCAGTTCTCCTGTGCCACTGTGGCCACTGCCTCATTAGGAAGAGCTCAGTACAGAGGGACTAGCCCAGGCCCCTCCTGGAGTGCTAGACTCCTGCTCACCTTCAGGCAGTTAAAGAATAGGTATTCCCAGGGTCATACTCCCACTCTCTGTGATGGGCAAACATGCCACTTAGTAAGTACTTACTGTGTGCCAGGCACTCCTAAGTGCTTGGACATCAGAGATGGACTAGATAGGTTGGAATCTTGGCTCTGCCCCCCTATAGCAATGACCTTGGGCAAGGGTAGGGCTTATCTGTGCCTCTATTTACTCATCTGCAAAATAATAGCACCCACTTCATAGGCTGCTGGGAGGGTTCAGTGAGATGATACGTGTAATAAGCTTAGAGCCATGCTTAGCACATACTGTGCTCAGTAATGCTAGCTCTTACGTTATAATGGAGGTGTTAGTACCATTCCTGTTTTGCATGAGTCTCAGGTAAGAGATAACTTGCCCAAGGGCATAGGATAGGAAGAGGTGGGGCCCGGGATTTGAACCTGGGCCCTCCAACCCCAGAGCATGGGCTCTCAGCATCGTTCCGTCTGACCAGTGAACATTGAAGCATTGGCTCCTAGAAGGTTGGAGGTCATCCTGACTCCTGTCCTCATTTTATAGGGGAAGAAACTGAGCTTCAGGTCTCCTGACCTCTTCCTTTTCCCTATAGAATAATTCTCTGGTGGAAGCCTTGCCCCCAGCTTTCTTAGGCCGTCGAGGCCTGCCCTGGCAGAATACATTTTCCCTTGCAAGGGCTTTTTTCATGTAGGACTCTGCAGAAGCCCCTGCGTTGGACAGTGAGCTCCTCCTTCCACAGAGCCCCGCACTAGTCCCGCAGATGTAGAAGGGACACAGTGAGCCATAGTTCAGTGCCCATAGGAGGGCAGGGGCCTCAGCGGGCCTTGAGGTTTTCCCTCTTGCTCCTTAGAGGATGCGACGCCCCAGCCAAAGAGGCCTCAGGGAGAAGCAGAAGGCAGACTGACCCTGTCCCCGAGGTCTGCTCTGCTGGGAGGGTTGCGGAGGAACTGAAATCCCCCCAAACAATGTGTTTATTAGGCAGGAAACTATTAGGGGTGGACCAGCTGGAGAAGGGAACTCTACACACTAGGCCCTGTATCTCATGTCATCACACCTTTTATTGAACATCTGTGTGTAAGGATCTTAGGTGATGCTTCTGCTCTGATGAAAAGCACAGCAAGGTAAAGGTCGTTGAGTGGAGCCACTGCTGTCCGTCATCTCATCTCCTCCCTGCAGGGTGGAGATGCTTACCCATTTTCCAGATGAGGACACTGGAGACATTGTCCTAGAGACATTTTTGGTTGTCACAATGGGGATTTGGGGGCTGTGTATAGAAGCCATAGATGCTGTTATTATCCTGCAGTACACAGGACAGCTCCTACCACAAAGACTATTCTGTTCCAACATGTCCAAGATTGAAGAAACCCAGGGCACAGAATGACTTTGGGTGTTCTGTAGGCCAGGTAGTCATGGACAGCCAGGTTGCAGCTTTTGAACAGAGACTATCACTGAAAGAAGAGAGAACAGCATGTGCAAAGACCCTGAGTCAGGAGCGTGTCCTGAAAAAGACCAGAGTGTGTGAGATCAGGTTGGTTATTCCCCACTGTGTTTTGGATGAAAAAACTCAGGCTCAGAAAGGGGGTTGCTGAAAGTCATGCAATCAGGCAGTACTGGAGCTGAGATGTGAACGTTGATGTGACTGATGCCACACTCCGCTTGCTTTCCACGCCTCAGCTGCTGCTGTCAGAGGAGTGGCTCAGCCTTCATTGTGCAGTTACTGTCTCTCCCTTACTTGACTCTCTGAGTTTGTTTTACTTTATTCCATCTGTGAATACTTGGCTTTTTTTCCTGGTTCCACCTCAATAATAAAAACAAGAAGGATAATGAGAGCCAATAATTCTATACTGCTTCCCATATGCCAGGCACTGTTCTGAGTGTGATATTCATGTGTATACACACACACACACGTATGTACACTCATTTCAACCCCATATCATAACATGCATGTGTGCTAGATGCTGTTCTTTTGCACCCATTTCACAGATAAGAAAATTGAGACACAGAGTTAAATGACTTGTTCAACTAGTAAAAATCAGAGACAGGAAACTACCTCGTTCTAGAATCCATGGTTTTTTGGGGGGTTTTGTTTGTTTTTTTGAGATAGGGTCTCCCTCTGTCATCCAGGCTGGAATACAGTGGCATGATTATAGCTCACTGCAGCTCCCAGCTCCTGGATCAAGCAGTCCTCCTGGCTCAGTCTCCTGTGTAGCTGATGCCTAGCTAATTTTTAAATTATGCCTGGCTAATTTTTTTTTTAATTTTTGGTAGAGAAGGGGATTTATTGTATTGGCCAGGCTAGTCTTGAACTTTCTGTGCTTAAATGATCCTCCTGACTCAGCCTCCCAAAGCGCTGGCATTGTAGGTGCGGACCAGCATGCCTGGCCAGAGTCAATGCTTTTAACTGTGCCTTCGTGCATTTGCCCTCTCAGCAGGTAGTCAGTGACTTTCTCAGCACTAGAGTCTATTGTTTGCTTGATCAGTGAGTGACTCCCCAGTTTAGTAACACTCAAGGTTCAGCACAGAAGGAAATTAGAGGTTGGTTTGTTCATACATGGGGAAACCAAGGTTTGACCTTGAAAGTGACTTGTGCAGCATAATACTGGGCGGCAGTGGATGAGCTGGAACCAGAGCCAGGTGTCCTGGTTGAGTGCCCTCTGCTCCACTGGGGGCTACCTGCCACCAGCCATGCCTGGCTGCCTCGTCTGTTTCGTCAGGTTGCCTGTGTGTCTTTGTACCCCTGGATCCCAGCCACCAACTGTGTCTGATATCCGGCAGGTTTGGGGCCACAGAGGAGGAGCCTGCTTTTGGCAGAAGGCCCAGGCATCTGTCTTTGTCTCAGCCCCCACCCATCCTTCCTGTTTATATACATGATCTCAGATTATTCCCAGATCTGACAGGTGTGGAAGTGGGGCTCAGATGAGTTAACTAGCTCACCTTCTGGGGTCAGCCTATACAGTTAGTTCTTCCCAAGTGGAGTGAACATTCATTCCTCATTCACTCATTCATTCGCTCATTTATTCTTTCCAACAACAAAGACCTACTTATGTGTTAAGCACTGATCATGCACCGGTGAAGTTCATGGTCCCTACCCTCCAGTGGAGATGTAATTGCCTTGTGGTAATGATGGGGGTCATGAGAGGGGAATGTTCAGAAAGGGCACCTGACCCATCCAGCTCAGGGATAGGGATCAGGAGAGGTTTCTTGGAGGAGGTGATACCATGGCTGAGGCTTAAACGATGACTGGGGGCTGCCTAGGCAGGCGGGGGAAAGGACGTGGAGGGAGTAGCATGTGCATGAGAGGAAGGAAGAGGGGACTCCCTGGTCCAGAGAACCACAGGCTGCTCAAGATTGGTGGGGCCGTGGGGTGGGAGGCAAAGGTCACACCATAACGCTAGGAGCCATTTATTGAGCATTTATTATGTGTCAGACACCATGTTGGGCCTTAGCTCAACAACCTTCTGAGTTAGATGCTCTGAATATGCAGAGAGGTTAAGTAACTTTTTGAAGACACACAGTTAATGAGTACCGAGACACAGTCCAAGATACACTGGACCTTGTCTCCAGCAGCTTGGTGGCCCCTCTAGAAACCCTTAGTACCTGCCCCTCTTAATGGCTTTGTTTCCTCCTGCAGGTGGAAGGACAGTCCAGAGCCCTTGTCATCGCACAGGAGCTGCTGTCTTCAGAGAAAGCGTGAGTCCCCAAGCAGCTGCCTGTGGCCTTGAGCTTGTAAACAAAACATCACCCCTCCCAGGCTTATACAGGATGGGAATTAATGCAGCCTCAACCCTCTTTTCCTCTGCAGATATGTGGAGATGCTCCAGCACTTACATCTGGTGAGTTAATCATTTTAATTGTCCAAAACTAATTGCCCTTTTACAAGGTTGTGATAAAAGAGGCAGGAAAGCAATGAGGAGATAGAGGTGATTTCCATTAACAGAGGCTTGGCAGCGGGCAGGCATTCACCAAAGCTTTTCAGGGAAGTCCATCTCTGATTAATGTGCTTCAGGGGGCTGACAGCTCCGAGCTTTCAGTGTGTGTACCTCCCTGTACATCCACTGGAAGGTGGGATGTATGGGGGGCATGGACTGAGGTTTCTAGAAGGATTTGAGGAAAGGTGGTTCAGGCCTTCCTGTGTGTATGAGTTTGTGTGCACACCTGTGTGTGGGAGAGGTGTGGGTCCATTCGGAGAAGGTGCTTGCACAATGACAGAGCAGCCGAGGGCATAAGAGGCTAAGTCACCTCTGTGCAGGGGCAGGGACATCTGTGCTGGTTGTGAGGGACTTGTTTGGACTTTCAGAGGGAAGGAGGCAGACTCGGGGATGACCTGCACTCCAGTCACTGCCACCCCATACAACTGTCAGGGCCATCTGCACAGTCCCCCTTTGCAATCAGTTTGATTCAGTACCACAAACTTTTTTTTTTTTTTTTGAGACATAGTCTTACTATGTTGCCCTTGGTACAGTGCCGTGGCATCACAGCTCACAGCAACCTCCAACTCTTGGGTTTAAGTGATTCTCTTGCCTCAGCCTCCCAAGTAGCTGGGACTACAGGCACCTGCCACAATGCCTGGCTATTTTTTTTTTGTTTTTCCCAGGCCAGGGCTGAGTTCGAACCCACCAGCCCTGATGCATGTGGCCAATGCCCTACCCACTGAGCTACAGGCACCGCCCAAACTTTTTTTTTTTTTTAACTCTAGTTGGGTGACAGGACCTGGGGAATGGAAAGACAGATCAGATGGGGCCTTTCTCCAGGTGCTCTCTGGCCAACTAAGGAGACAGATCAGGGGAGTGACCAACAGCACTGGGAGATCTGGGCAGGCTCCCTGAGGTGGTACTGTTCGGGGCTTACTCTTAGGAAGAGGTGAGGGAAGAGGTCACCACTGAGACTTGAGAAGTGGGGGGAAGTGGTAGACTCACCACCTCAGGCCCTTGGGACGGTTCCCTGCCCCTCGGCGCTCTCTGAGCCATCTGCAGTCTTGCCATAGTTCAGCATTTGGTTCTATACTGCTTCGTATCACTCGCCATCTCAAAGAATGTCTGACCTGGGCATTTGCAGGTGGTGATATGGAGGCCCAAGAGGAGTGAGTGGCCAGTGTCACACAATGACTGAGCTGGTACAAATTCCAGTCTCACTCCCAGTCCATACTTCTCAAGTGTTAATTCTGAGTCCCCAGCTGCCTTTGGAGCCCCTCAGGGCAGGGACCATCTCTGGGTGCCCTGAAGCACCCAGCACCAAGCCAGGCCTTCTGCTGAATCTAGCTCTGGTCCCTGTCAGCAGTGTCACCATGGTGTCACATCCGCCTGCGAGCAGTCAGGTCTCTGGGAGGAGGACCGAGCACTACTCTGGTCTGGGGTTCCCAGCCCCTCATTTTGCCCTTGATGATGAGAGCTTCGTGCGCATTAAAACCAAAGCCCTCAGACATGACCGTTTACTACACTGCCAGCCCCCTTACACTTAAAGGATCTATTTAGCAAGAGCTGAAGGAATCAGTCTCCCATTTTTCTCCTCCCACTTGTTTCCAAGCTGGCAGCATGACAGAGGGGCTGGGCTTTTTTGTTTTATGACTTTTGTTAAGAGGGTTTTAACCGGGAAACTTCCATCTGTGTTTGTACCATTTCCTGCCAGTTGGAAAGGCGCTGAAGCCACTGGTAATCCATAATAATATGCTAAGGGTGGAGGGGCAGAAGAGAGAGCCCATAAAAATCACAACTCGTGAGCCAGTCGCGGGAAATTGGTCGGGAGCTATATTTATCACATCAGTGCTTATGTGGAGAGAAGTGGCAACTCTAATGCAACTCTAAGTCCCAGCAGAGGGAATCGAGTCCCAAAGGAGACCCACAACCTCTAGAGCAGCAGTTCTCAACCTGTGGGTCACGACCCCTTTGGGGGTCGAACAACCCTTTCACAGGAGTCGCCTAATATCAGATATTTACATTACGATTCATAACAGTAGCCAAATTACAGTTATGAAGTAGCAATGAAAATAATGTTATGATTGGAGGTCACCACAACATGCAGAACTGTATTAAAGGGTCACGGCATTAGGAAGGTTGAGAACCACTGCTCTAGGGCCTTCTCCACCACCCCCCAACTTTGGATCCATCCCTATTTGCTAATTTGGCAAGTTCTTCCTCAGAATTTCCCCTTAGAGATTTGATGCTCTTGACATCCCAAGATGGCCCAGTGATGGGCAGGGCTGGCCGTGCTTCCCCAATCTCCCCAGCTGGAAAGGTCCCTGGCTCTGTTGTGCTGTTGTTAGGGGAGTAGGTTGTGGCCTCTATGTTTGGGAATCAGTTCTGTGCTTGTCAAATGGTATTATAGATAGATCTGACTTGGGAATTATTAAAAATTTTTATCATCCAGGGCAGCGCCTGTGGCTCGGTGGGTAGGGCTCAGGCCCCATATACCGAGGGTGGTGGGTTCAAACCCGGCCCTGGCCGAACTGCAACCAAAAAATAGCTGGGCTTTGTGGCGGGCGTCTATAGTCCCAGCTACTCGGGAGGCTGAGGCAAGAGAATTATCTAAGCCCAGGAGCTGGAGATTGCTGTGAGCTGTGACGTCACAGCACTCTACCATGGGCGATAAGATGAGAGAGACTCTGTCTCTACCAAAAAAAAAAATTCTTATGGTCCAAATGGAACCCTAATGGTTGAGATCCTGTTTTTGTATAGTCTATTAATTAAGAATGGATTTTTTATATTTTATGTATATATATATATATTTTTTTTTTGAGACAAAGTCTTATTATGTTGCCCTCAGTAGAGCGCTGTGGCATCACAGCTCACAGCAACCTCAAACTCTCAACCTCCAACTCTTGGGCTTAAGCAATTCTCTTGCCTCAGCCTCCCAAGTAGCTGGGACTATAGGTGCCTGCCATAACAACGCAGCTATTTGTTTGTTGCAGTTGTCGTTGTTTAGCTGGCCCGGGCCGGGTTCAAACCCGCCAGCCTCACTGTATGTGGCTAACACCCTAACCACTGAGCTACAGGCGCCAAGTCTGGAGTTTATATTTTTAAATGTTTATGAAAAAGGAAAAGAAAGTCCTTTGGTGGTCTAACATGTGATCTGCAGAGCCTGAAATATTTATTACCTGGCCCCTTGCAAAAAAAGTTTGCTGATTTCGGGTTTAAAGGCTCCCTCCATCCCCCTAGGAACCCAGTCATAAAAGCATTCCTCTGCCTGACCGTCCAGCAGTCTCTCACCCACCCGTCAGTCCTTCCACACGTCCATGCACCTGGGAGCACATCCATGGATCCATTCACCCCCCAATCAGTCCACTGCTCTGATGTCTACCCACCCAGCCAAACAGGCATCCATCCCTTCACCATCTCCTCAGCCAACTGAATCCGACTCTCCAACCGTCCGTCTGTCTGAACTACTCATCATCCTGGAACAGGCCTTGGAGCCCCAAAGATGAATGAAGCCTGGAACTTGCCCTTGATTAGGTTTCTTTCTTGCAAGGAGAGAGGGTGGAGGTGGGAGGAGAAATAGATACATGAACAATTATGCTACTTTGTGTACGTAGAATTTGCACAACTGTAGTTTTACATAAAATTTGTACAACTGTAGTTTTGTGAAAAATCAACAGGGGCATAGGGAAGGAGGCGACTTACTCACTTTGGTGAATCCAGGAAATTTTGCCGAAGAGGTGCCATTGAGATGGACTTTTGAGGAGTCTTCCAGGCCAGGGCAGCAGCAGAGGAGGTCACATAGGCAGGGTAGTCAGCATGGCAAACATTCATGAATATGACGTCTGTCTCCTGATTAATGTGCTCCAGAGGACGGAAAGAACTGAGCTTTCATAGATAATTTTCTGCTGGAAAGTCAGGTAGGAATCAAGGGTCAAGTAATGGGTCCTAAAACAAAGTTAGGACCAGATTGAAAAGTACCTAAAACGCCAGGCTAAGGGTCTTCTGCTTTTCCTTGTATATAGTGAAGATTAGAGATTTTGAACAGATACAGCCCCTGGACACCTTTAGTCCTCTGTTTTCTCATCTAAAATAAATCCTTCTCCTAATAGAAGCTAAAAATTCCTACCATGGGTCCCTACTTTGGCCTAAGTCCTTGAAGGCCTGCTCAGAAGCCAGTGTGCTGAGTAGGAGATACTACCCTGGAAGTTGTCACCACCTGATGCCCCAGGAGAAGGTCCCTCCTCTGAGAGGCCCTACCCACCTCTCCAGCGTTCCTCCTGCATGGTCTTACCACTCACTTCAGCCGTGCCGGCCTTCTTGCTATTCTTTGGATATTATGAATGACTTCACACCTCATAGTCTTATGTTCACTGTCTCTGCTGCTAGAGTGTCCTAGCCCTGATCTCGTAACCACTTCCTTCTCATTCAGGTCTCAGTTCCAGTGTCACTTCCTCAAGAACTGATATCACAAAACTTAGGGGAATAAGACAACTGTGTTATTATGTTCAGAGATCATCTGGGCCAGGAATTTGGAAAGGGCATTGTAGGGGAGTTTTTCTTTGCTCTGTGATGTCTGAGGCCTCACCTGGAAGACTCAGAGACTGGGGAGACTTGATGTCGAGGGGCTGGGATCACCTGGAGTTTCTCCACTCACATACCTGGTGGTTGAGGCTGGCTGTTCATCTGCGACCTCAGCTGGGCTGCTGGCCAGAACACTACTGTGGCTTTTCCATGTGGTCTCTCTGTGTAGGGGAGTTTGGTCTTCCTTACAGCATGGTGACTGGGTTTCAAGAGTGAGTGTCTCAAGACAGAGCCAGGAGAAAGTGGCATTTTAATGATCTAGCATAGGTAGTCATACAGTTGAGACAGTGACAAAGGTCTGCCCAAGTTCAAGGGGAGATTACATAGTCTCCACCACTCCA